AAGTCAAGTGGTAACTTGGCTTCAGGTTCCCTGCTATGAAGGGCACTGTGCATCCTTCCAAAGCCTGGCTGCTTGTCCTGGTTACAAGGGAATAATCCAGGATTCCCGCCTTGACTTGTGAAGTTCAGGTTATTATGCACTTTGTTACAAGCATTATAAAACCTATGCGTTAGGGAATACATTCCTTGGAAATAAGAAGGCAAGAACTAGAACTTGTTAGTAAGTGCCCATGATAAATTCCAAAAGGAAGAAGACATCTCAATAAAATAGGATTTTTCTATGAGGCTTACAGTTCTGAAAGGAATTTACTGTGAAAATGACGTACTTTCCAGTTTAGCTCTTGTTCCTCTCTACGTGACATTATATTGGTTGTATGTTTTACAGCGAGTATCTTAGTTGTGCATTTTTCTATATGTCTTGTATTTATAGGAGTTTTGGAGCGCATGAAGAAAATGTGTGTTTATCCATAGTATCAGGGAATAGAGCTTCTCCTTAGGGTATTCTATTGGAATGACTGTAATCATCATGTTGATCGACCATTTAAAAACAGAATAACGTGACAAACACACGGTATTTACAAGATCCCAGGCACTGTTCTGAGCACTTCATGTATACTAACTTACATAATTTCCAAAACAATCCTAAGATAGGACTGTTATCTCATTAAGGCACAGGGAGGTTAAGTAACTTGTCCAGGGTCACACAGCTGATAGGTATGAGAGCTGGGACTTGACCCCATGATACCAGGCTCCAGAATTCTTGTTCTTATCCAGTACACTGATCCTATTTCCAAACTCCTCCTTTTTTTGCATCTGCAGTTGCCAGGTAGTCAGGTTATATGATCTCTAAAAAATAAGAAAAAGCAAGGCTGATCCAAGTTTGTAGAGCGTGCAGTCATGGTGGTGCAATGTTACTTTGACAGGGTGCTGCCAGCATTGCCCAACCTCGTCGGTGCTGGAGAGGGTGATGGATGGCATGTGTTCATCCTCCCAGTTGTCCACGTCTCTCTGTATCTCACCCTTTGGAAGTGCTCTGCATGCTGGCTCTGGGACTGGCCATGCAACTTGTTGTATTAGATTCCTGTCTTGCATGACAACTTTCTACAACCTTAGCAGCCTAAAACAACATACATTTATTGTCTCAAAGTTTCTGTGAGTCAAGGATCTGGGCATGGCTTGGTGGGTCCTTAAAGTTTCACAAGGCTGCAGTCAAGGTATCAGCTGGGCTGTCTTCCTTTCTATAGCTCAGATTCCTCTTCCACGTTCGAAAGGCTATTGGCAGAATCCAGTTCCTTGCAGCTGTAGGACTGATGTCTGTTTTCCTGCTGGCTGTCAGCTGGAGGCTACTCTCAGCATCTAGAGGTCACTCATGGTTCCTTTCCATGTGGCCCAACATGACAGCTCACTTCTTCAAGGCCAGAGGGAGAAACTCTAATGCCAGTCTGCTAACAGGTAGTCTGTTAGCAGGAAATCACTCACTGGAAATCATGTGAGTGACAGTCCCACCTATGCCATATTCTATTGACCAGAAACAAGGCACAGGTGCCATCTGTATCCAGGAGTAGGGGGTTATACATGGGTATAACTCACTGGGGCTCATCTTAGAACTCTGTCTACCGTGATTGTTTTGACCAGTGGGACGGTAGCAAACTTGACCCAAGCAGAAGCTTGGAAATGTGCTTGCATGTTTCTGCTGGGCCCCTGGCATTACTGTGAGGCCATGCCTGCCTAATCTCCTGCAAGGAAGGAAGAGACATGTAAAGAAGCTCCGAGGCCTCCCAATCAGAGCTTAGACCAATTTAGAACCAGTCCAACTCCAAACACATGAAAGAGCCCAGCCCAAATCCGCAGAGTTGCCTGTCCAACCTGCAGCTGACTGCAGATGCATGAATAAGCCCAGTCAAGACCAGAAGCACCATCTGGCCCATAAATTCGTGAGCAGTAATAAATGGTTGTTGTCTCAGCTGCTCAGCTTAGGTGATTTGTTATGTAGCACTATCGTGTCAATGCTAACCGATACAGAATTACCATTTGCTGCATACCCACTCTTTGCCAGGTGCCATGTTAGATTTTCCATGTCTGTTTTCTCATTTAATCCTCAAAACAGCCCTGCAGGAGAGCTTGGGTCTATTCAGTATTTTCATTATTGATGTGGGTAAGAATATTAAGGTTATGATTACTAATGGCCAACAAGCACGTGAAAAGATGCTCAACATCACTAATCATTAGGGAAATGCACATCAATACATTGAGATACCACCTCACACCCAATAGGATGGCTACTGTTAAAAAGAAAACCGAGAAAATCATAAGCATTGGCAAGGACGTGAAGAAATTAGAGCCCTTGTGCGCTGTTAGTGGGGATATAAAATGGTGCAGCTTATAGGTAAAACAGTGTGGCAGTTGCTCAAAAATTAACCATAGAATTACCGTATAATCCCGCAATTCCACTTCTAGGTTCGTACCAAAAAGAATTGAAAGCAGGATCTCAAAGAGATATTTGTACACCCATTTCAGAGCAGCATTATTTACAATAGCTAAAAGGTGAAAACAACCCAAGTGTTTGTCGATGGATGAGTAGATAAACAAAATGAGGTGTATATATATATATATATATACACACACATATATACATACACATATATATATACACATATACACATATATATATACACATATACACATATATACATACACATATATATATACACATACATACATACAGCGGATATTCAGCCTTAAAGAGGAAGGGCATTCTGATGCATGTTAAATTCTGGCTACATAGACTCAAGTATTCTGACACATGCTACAGCATGGATGAACCTTGAGGACATTATGCTAAGTAAAATAAGCCAGTCGCAGGAGGACACTGTATGATTCCATTTGTCTGAGGTAATAGCCAGATTCATAGAGAGAGAACGCAGGACGGTGGTTGCCAGGGGCTGGGGGGCGGGAAGGGGGAGGGGAGTTAGTGTTCAATGGGAACAGAGTTCCAGTTCTGGAAGATGAAAAGAGTTCTGGAGATGGCTGGTGGTGCTGGTTGCACAACAGTGTGAATGGACTTAGTAGCACTAAACTGTACACTTGAAACGGTTAAGATGGTAAATTTTATGTTATGTGTATTTTCCCACAAGTTAAGATTATGATTTCTGTCTCATCTGCTTGCAATACAAATCCTCCTGTCAAGGGTGAACAAGGCATGGGAGCCGCCGAGCCCTTACACTCACAGGCTCTGATGGGAGCCTAGCTGGGTTCAGATCTGGGCTCTAGCTATGTGAGGCAGCGGTACGATCTTGGCAATGCTACCTAAGCTCTCCAAGCTGCAGCTGCCTCATTTGCAAAAAATCAAGATAATCATAGGACCTAACTCCTAGCATTATTGTGAGGGTTGAGTGATGGGATACAAGGAAGATGCTGAGCTCGGTGCCTGGCAAGAAGAAAGCACCCGGTAAATGTCAGCTGTTGTTGGTACCTGATAAAAGATAACACCCACCCCAGTGATCCTAAAAAACCACCCAGTACATGCTCGTCATTATGCAGAACATAAAGAACATAATTAAGAATCTTGGCAACTGAAAAACAGCATATGGTTTCATACCTACTGTGTGATCATAAGAACAAACAACTTGTTCTTTTCCCTTTGGGTTAGTATTTAAAATTAAGGGAAAATTGCCCACAATCAAGTCTGGGCATGATGAAAATGGGTCACAGTACAAAGCCTTCCACAGTCCAATGATTCAGTTAGTGTTGAAACAGCCAAGCCACAGCTCTGGATCCTCTTGTCAACTCCCTCCAGCTTACAGACCCCTTTCTCCTCTGAAGCCCTGAGCCTCTCTTGAAGGTCTTGGGATGTGATGGCTCACACCTGGAGCTACGTCTGATTTACCTTCCAGTACATCACTGTGCTGCTGACACTCAGAAGGCCTTTCTGAGCACCCAGAGGATTGGGTTCCTTTTGTCCTGAGCGCTTGGGGGACATAGTTAGAAGTTCCCTAAGAACTTGGAGATAAGTTTACACTTAGAGTATTCAACTCTAAATCCCTCCTATAATGGATTACAACAGAGATGCAAAATGTGGCCATTTAAGCATGAAGACATCCGGGTCACCTAAGACCTCAGTATCATCCGCTAAAGAAAAAGCATGTCCATAAGTAGGCAGCCTTAGCTCCTGGTGGTGGTGTTGGTGGTTACTCAGCCTTGGAGGAATGGAAAAGGGAGTCATAGAGGCAAATATTGTCAGGACCAGCCCAGCTCTCATCAGGGAAGGAGTCATACCTGCGTCCATTGGTTAAGCCATGTCCATGGTGGAGGTGGACACCTGTGTTAAGTCTGACACCATCGTGGCTCCCGTTTCATGCTCACCAAGCCTGTTGGGTAGACCTGTCTACAGGGAAATAATGTACTGGTTATATGAACTCAAGTATTCTTGTGGTAGGCAGAATAATGTCTCCACCCCCAAAGACATAGGGTGTCCTAATTCTTAGAACCTGTGACTGTTATGTTAAATGGAAAATGCAAATTAAGGTTGCAGATGGCATTAATGTTGCTAATCAGCTGATCTTAGAATAGGGAGGTTATCCTGGATTATCTGGGTGGGCCGCATGTAATCACGAGGGTCCTTAAAAGTGGAAGAGGGAAGCAGTAGCAGCAGCGTGAGGTCAGAGTGATGTGAGATGTGAGAAGGATTCAGCCAGTGTTTCTGGCTTTGCAGATGGAGGAAGAGGGCAGCAAGCCAAGGAATGCAGCCACCTCTAGGAGCTGGAAAAGGCAAGGGAACAGATTCTTAGAGCCTCCACGGGAACGCAGCCTTCTGACAGTTTGATTTTAGCCCAGTGAGACGGCTGCCAGGCTTCTGGCCTACTGAACTGTAGGATAATAAATTTCTGTTGTTTTAAGCCACTAAATTTGTGGTGATTTGTTACAGCAGCAAGAGGAAACGAATACACCATGGCAGTGATTTCTCAACGTAAATGAATAAATTGATTTATGTTTCCGTTTCAGGGTATGTGGTTTAAACTCTCCACGGACTGACAAAATCAGGTTTCTGACTCTGCAAAGCTAAGAAGACTCTGCTCCTGGAAGGCCTCTCCACTGACAGACTGTAAGATTAATTTCCATATTTTGAGAACGTCTATATGTGTTGAGTGCTTTTGGTATATTTCCTAGAATTCTCTCTACAGCCCTGTGAGCTAGGTATGCTTATGCCCATTTTATAGATAAGATAACTGTGGTTCAGGCTGGACCAAACAACCTCAAATCATCTGGATTTACACCCCATGTGGGTGTCTCTAACACGCATACCTCACCGCAGTGCTGTTCTAGAGAAGCTCCATCCCTTGGAGAACCATCCATCTGGTCACACCTCATGAGAAGACGAGCTGGGCAGAAGCAGGACGGCAAGCGTCCTCGTCTTCATGCTCAGCTGGGGCTCTTACCATTCTGTAGGGAGAAGGGGCTGGATTGAACCCCACACACATTCTGTTATTTGCAAAGTGCTGCCTATCAACTTCTGAACACTTTCTGTACGTTAACTGTTTTACAAACTGTATACAGTTCATCACACTGTGTGTTCTGCTATTCTCAGTTATTATTACTATTATTTTTGTCTTAAGGATTTCTGAGTGAAAGAACTCCCTTAGGTAACCTGAGCCAGATATATTTACCCTGAACCAGGTGTGTTTCACCCGAACGAAGGGTAGGCATCCGACAAAAGGTCAGAGAAAGCAGCCTCGGAGCCCACCATCCTGCATAGCCGAGGGTCTCCTTTTTCTACATACACCTCTTGGTGGAATGCTCATCGATATAAAATCAGTGCCAGCAAACCCTCCTGGTTTCTCCTGTGCCTCCAGGAACGTGATTGGTCTACAGAACAGAGTTGAGAACAGATGTTGTTTGATCACAGTTGCTCCAGTGGGTCTACATGACATGGAACATGTGACTGCCGCTCCCCGAGCCCCCTGACTCACTTGGTCCAAGAGGGGACTTGCCCTGAGCGTTGGGGCGATGTGCCCGAAGTCCTGCAACTACAAAGTGGCAGGGCTGGGATTCACACCCAGACTCCAGGCTCCAGCATTGCCCTTCCCGCTGTATCGCCGCCTCTGCTTTCCCCACGGCGCTCAGCCTGGTGCCTGGCGTGGATGAAGAGCCCCGAGGAGCTTCCTGAATGAAGCTGAGCCTGTACGTGAGGGAGGGAAGCGTGACTTCCCCTCCTTGTCTGCCAGGGGTTTTGCTGGGTGACTGTAGGAATCGCTCAGCTGGCTTTCATCATCTACCAATTGGGGGTATTCACCTCTGGAAGTCATTCCGTCACTTGTGGTCTCAAGTCACTCCAGAGGTAGCTTCCTGGGGCCTTGCAGCTTTACTCCGAATTTTCCATACAAATAAGCACGTAAGTGGAGAAGCCCCTGATTCCAGCCAAACCTCAGATTGCTGCTCTCTTTCCCAAAGGAAAGAGAGGAAATATGTCTCGCGCTGCAGCCGGGCTGCCCGAGCGAGTCAAGAGCTGGGAGGCACTGATCGCTTTGGGACCGGCATCTGCCTCGATTTCATCTTTTCATTTTTCCGCTGGGCTTGAGGAGACCCGGACCTTATTATTATCATGCGCCTCAGCAGAGATCTCATCCTTCCCACCTTTCCCACCTACGGTAGGCCCAGCGAATTCAGTTCAGCCCCAGAAGCACTGATTGTGTGCCCATCACACCCGAGACCTGAGTGGGGCAGAAGGAACACAGAGATGAGTGAGGGACGCCTTCTCCAGGGAGGACACACTCTGGCCGGTGACCAGCCGAGGAGGGGCTGGCACAAGCAGAAGTGTCTGTCCTCCCGTGCGGCTGGGGAACTCACGGGGGGGCACCCGTGTCAGGTGCTTCCCTGTGTTACCTGCATCCTTGCTGTTCCCCCAGCTGCACAGACAGGAATCCAGGCTCGGAGGCAGCGGCCAGAGCATGGGAGGTGGCAGGTTCCTGAGGACCCGGCTTCCAACCCAGTCCCCGCCACTCCCTATGGCAGTGACCTTGGGCGCTTTCCCCAGCTTCTCTGAGCCTCGGCTTGGTCATCTGTAAATGCAGAGGTACAGGGCCATGGGGCTCAGTGAGAACGCGAGGTTGGAAAGTTCAGTGCAGCATCCTTAGCGCTCCTGGAGGTCAGATAGCTCCTTGGGGGCGAGCTCAGGTGCTGCCTCCCCTCCGGCTGTCTGCTCGGTTCAAGAAGAGCTGGGCTCCATCGCCCCAGAGGAAATGCCTGCGTGGATCCCACAGGCATGGGTTTAGTGGCCTTGTTCTTCATTGTTAGCCTCCCCAGAGGGACGTGTGCCCTGCCTGCCTGGCGGGCGTGGAAATGGTGGATGAGAGGGGACGGCAGACCGGCCCGATGGGCCTCCCCGCAGGAAGGAGCCTGGCCCTGAGGACAGCCACCCACACAGCTGTGGCTGCACAGCCTTCCAACCTCCGACCCAGACCTCCACTCCCTTTGCCCGCCTTGGGAGGAGGTGGTTGGAAAGCTCATTTGCGGGGACTGCAGGATGCTGTGTGGCTGGGTTTGGTGAAGGTGGCGAGGGGCCTACGTGGGGGCCGGGTTTGGTGAAGGTGGTGAGGGGCCTGCGTGGGGGTGTATCTATGGATCCCAGTGGCTTCATTTCCTTCCTCGTTTCTCTCATTTTATTTTCTTCCAGCAGCGGCTCTCTTTTTGCTGCTTCTGAGAAGACCCTCGGGAGAGTCTGGCTCAGGGTCTTCCTCGCAAATGCACGTCTGGCTCAGGGCTGCTTTGATGGATAGAGGGCAGTTGGCCTTGGAAACCGGCTGCAATATTGGCAGTTCCGTGGGACATCCATTACATGCCTCCTGGAGAGAGCTTTTCCGGGGGGCCTCGCGTCGGACTGACGCTGCTCACGAGGGGGTGGGGAAGCAGAAATAACCTAAAAGGAAAGGCATCTATTTTAACGTTTTCGCAGAGCCGCGTCTCCTGCATATGGGTCCAGCCCACTCTCGTGAAGCAGCTCCTTTTGGGAAACAGGGGACTTGCAAACGGCTTGTTAAAGCTAAGGAAACGAAGAGGAGATGAAACAGAAGCGTGTGTAAGCAGAACCCAGCGCCTTCAGCTGGATTGGCAGGCCCCCGAATCCAAAAACCCTGGGTTTTCATTGGAGACCAGAGAGACCTCACTTATTCTCATGGGATGGAAAGTGCCGGGTAGCCGGGAAGAAGGGGGCACCGTCACCCCCGCTGCCCTCTCTGAGTTGACAGCTTTGCTAGTGAGACATACACAAAAAAGCCCTCTTGGTATAAGAGAGCAAGTAGGCCTAATAATAACAGCTAACATGCTTGCTGTATGTCGGTGCTTTAAAAGCATTAAGTAATTTAAGTTCACCAAAACCTTGCGATGCAGATATTATGATTATCCTCTCCATTTTACAGATGAGAAAACAGAGGCACAGGGCAGTGAAGTAACTTGTCCAAGGTCATCTCTAGTAAGCAGAGGAGCTGGAATCAAATCCATGCTCTCTAGAACCCATGCTTCTGTTCCTTACTCCTCCTCGTTTCTGCCTCTTGCTCACCTTGGGGAATCCAGGCAACTCCGAGAGCTTTAAGTGTTGCATTTGATGGCTCTTAAATCCCAGATCCCTGTTTGGTCGGCTTGTTGTACTTTTCTCCAGATTCACTTCTTTTTTTTTTTTTTTTTATAAATTTATTTGTTTATTTTTCGCTGTGTTGGGTCTTCGTTGCCGCGCGCGGGCTTTCTCTAGTTCTGGCGAGCGGGGGCTACTCTTCGTTGCGGTGCGCGGGCTTCTCATTGTGGTGGCTTCTCTTGTTGTGGAGCACGGGCTCTAGGCACATGGGCTTCAGTAGTTGTGGCTCGTGGGCTATAGAGCGCAGGCTCAGTAGTTGTGACACATGGGCTTAGTTGCTCCACGGCATGTGGGATCCTCCCAGACCAGGGATTGAACCCGTGTCCCATACATTGGCAAGCAGATTCTTTTTATTTCTTTTTTTTAAAAATAAATTTGTTTGTTTGTTTGCTTATTTATGGCCACGTTGGGCCTTCATTGCTGCGCGCGGGCTTTCTCTAGTTGTGGCGAGCAGAGACTACTCTTCGTTGCGGAGCATGGGCTCTAGGTGCGTGGGCTTCAGTAGTTGCAGCACGAGGGCTCAGTAGTTGTGGCTCTTGGGCTCTAGAGCACAGGCTCAGCAGTTGTGGCACACGAGCTTAGTTGCTCTGCAGCATGTGGGATCTTCCCGGACCAGGGCTTGAACCTGTGTCCCCTGCACTGGCAGGTGGATTCTTAACCACTGCGCCACCAGGGAAGCCCTTTTGTTTAAAATTTATAAATTGAAGTATAGCTGATTTACAGTATCACTTAAGTTTCAGGTGCATAGCACAGCAATTCAGTTATACATACATATATATGTGTGTGTGTAACTTTTTCAGATTCTTTTCCCTTATAGGGTTCCACATAATACTGAGTATAGTTCCCTGTGCTATACAGTATGTCCTTGTTGGTTATATGTTTTATGCATAGTAGTGCGTATATGTTAACCCCAAACTCCTAATTTATCCCTCCCCCCACCCCCCTTCCCCTTTGGTAACCAAGAGTTTGTTTTCTGTGTCAGCAGAGACTCACTTCTTCTTGAACCTTGGCCTTCTTCCTCTTGTGTGGCTCTCCTCGCTGTGGTCGAAGGGCAGAGTCTGGAGTCAGCAGGGTGCAGGCTGGGAAAGCAGAGGGTCTGGTCCGGGGGCAGTTGTAGTCTTCGTCTCAGGAGCATCTGCCTTGCACATAGGAGCTTGCTCTGAGCCGGGCTCTGTGCTGGGCGTTGGGGATACACCTGGCCTTCTGGATCTTGCCATCTACTTGATGAATCAGACAATAAACGAATCAACATATAGAACCCCGGGTGGACGCTATACAGCGCATTACAACTGGCTCACGTGTTCGAGAGTGATGGGTGTCTGTTTCGAGTTGAGTTGGATGACCGGATGAGGTCTCTCAGAGAAGTGACACTGAAACTGAGATCCTAATGTCGAAATGGAGCCAGCCAGCCGTGGGGCAATTAGAAGGAGGGGTGTCCCAGGGGGAGGAACCTGCATGGCTCAGGGCCCCACTGTGAG